CCTTTCCGATTGATCTGATGTTTTTCCCTCTTATTATATGACCTATTCGAATCTGCTGCTATCTCAGCCAATGTGGATGTTTTCCCTTTCCAGTCGAGCTGGTGTTTTTTCCCTCTTATTATTTGACCTATTCAGATCTGTTTGCGGACTATTGCCTTTACTATCCTCTATATAATAAAATATACCTTCAGTCCATTTGTTTGGAGTGGAAAGTGTCTTTTACGTCTCTGATCGAATCCCCGAACCTCTCATAACAAGACCCCAGATTCAAGAGTCAGAAAACCTGGGTTCAAGTTGTGACTTGGCTGTTCACTGGCTGATCACCAGTCACATAAACCTTCAAAATCAATGTCTTCATCTGTAAAATGGGCATAAGGCCGGTACTTCACAGAAACGGTGAGAGAACCACCAAAATGACGTATCCACTAGTAGGCAAGACAATGGCAGTATACAGTAGGTATCTAATAGAGTGATCATTGCTAAAATGAATGTCTGCTTGATAAACTATGTAAAACAAATTATTCTTACTCTTTACCATGTTTTTAAAACTCTGGAGAAGCTGGCTTTTAAAGGAAATCTTATCATTAAAAGAGACTATTAAACATACAAATTAGCAAACCACAGCCTTGTTTATTTATTTGAAAATTAAAGAAGGGATATATATGATTGTGATTTCTTATAGTGAGATATACCTGTAAAATGAGTAGCCCTGTAGATTTATTTATAAGGCATATATAACCTCTGAGGCAAGATATTATGTAAAATATTTAAAAGTTAACTATAGGGGCCAGCCCCATGGCTTAGCGGTTAAGTGAGCACGCTCCGCTACTGGCGGCCCGGGTTCGGATCCCCGGCACACACCGACGCACGGCTTGTCCGGCCATGCTGAGGCCGCGTCCCACATACAGCAACTAGAAAGATGTGCAACTATGACATACAACTATCTACTGGGGCTTTGGGGAAAAAAAAGGAGGGGGATTGGCAATAGATGTTAGCGCAGAGCTGGTCTTCCTCAGCAAAAAGAGGAGGATTAGCATGGACGTTAGCTCAGGGCTGATCTTCCTCACAAACACACACACACACAAAAAGTTAACTATAAAATGGATTAGAATGTTGAACACATAAATCAATGTGATTTGGAAAAAAGAACTAAAATTCTCCCCATCCTTGCACTGCTACTCACTGCTACTGATTTGCCCACCTTACTGCATTAGCTAAGTTATGCACTGAAACATTCCTTGAAGACATCTCAGAGCATTTATGGCCTTAAATCATTTAATTTTCCTTTTGTACAAAAGAGGGCACTCTAACGCTTTATTTTCTTTCTTATCATGCAATGAAATACAAAGTAATTTTCATCCCTTGAAAGCATTAATTTGGAAAAAAAAGAATCTCAACAAGGTGAATTAGTACCAAGCAAACATATGCTAATTTTCAAAATAGATTTTGATTGGAAATATTCTTTTCACCCTAATTGTTTCCAAAGAGAAAAATGTAAAATTACTGCATTTTTTAAAAAGCAAATAAGGGAGCCGGCATGGTGGTATAGTGCTTAAGTTTGCATGCTCCACTTTAGCAGCCCGGGGTTTGCCAGTTCGGATCCCAGGCACAGACCTATACACCGCTCACCAAGCCATGCTGTGCCGGCGTCCCACATACAAAATAGAGGAAGATGGGCACAGATGTTAGCTCAGGGCCAATCTTCCTCACCAAAATAAAAAAAAAAATGCTAAGTACATTTTAAAAAAGCAAATAGGATATGACAACAAACCAATATCTATTTGTTATTTATAAGATATAATTTTTATTTTATTTTATTTACTTGTTTATTTATTTATTTTTGGTGAGGAAGATCAACCCTGAGCTAACATCTTTTGACAATCCTCCTCTTTTTGCTGAAGAAGACCAGCCCTGGGCTAACATCCGTGCCCATCTTCCTCTACTCTATATGGGACGCCGCCACAGCATGGCCTGACAAGCGGTGTGTCAGTGCGCGTCCAGGGTTCCGCACCTAAAAACCCGGGTAGCTGCAGCAGAGTGCACACACACAACTGCTGCACCACCAGGCCGGCCCCATAAGATATAATTTTTAAAAAGTATTATACTTGAATCACTGTTACGCAAAACACACAGAGATATTAACATGTTCATGGTATGAGAGAAAAGGAATAAAAGTTCATGAAATCTTACTAAAACCTTAGTCTCTCTGCTTGACACCTAGCTGTTTCCACCTCACAAAGTTCCTTAACATATAGAAGGGGATTTACGTGAAGATCCTGTGTTTGGGCAAATCCTTGCGCTTTGGCTGCTGTGTGCAATGCCAGAGGCTCCCACGCCCGCCCTCGACCCTCGTGTGCTCGCCTGCGTCTGAAGCTGGAAGGGAAGGGCTGTGCTGTGTTCTGACAGAAATGCTCTGTGCTAAATTTAAAAAGTCTTTCATGAAACCAGAGGGAGGCTCATAGAGTTAAAGTTAGTGGTGCCAAAAACATTTCCAGCACATGGGCCCTGTCCCTACAAACCCCATTTTATAAATATAGCTATTCCGTGTCCGACTCAATAAGAAATTATCGGAAATGCTTTGTAGCTATTCAATTCTGTGCTGCAGTGTTGAGAAAGTTTGGTCTTTCAAGTGAAAAAATCTTGATGCACATCTGTTTCCAATGGCTTCTTGATTATTCTTTGTGAACAAAACCAAAGAATCTGTTTCTATTTTGGAAAATGTTAAAGAAAACCTACGAGAGCAATAATCTCCATTCTGAGCGAGGCGCGTGGTGCTCGCAGGTCCTGTGATACAGCTGCTCCCTCCTGCAACCGCCTGAAACAGGAGACAGTCACAGGCCTGTCAACAGCTCACGACGCGAGCCAAGCTCTCCCAACAGCACATGCAACCTTCCGGCTGCAGCAGAGAATGTTATGGGAATAGAGCTGACATGTGCAGCCGTCAGATGTGGCTTTTGAATTACAGATCGAGTGGGAGAGCGGCAAATTTCTCCCAAATGAGTTGGGAAATCGTTCAAGACATGATAAATGATGGGGAAAAACACACACACACACACCACATTAGAGATATCACATTCACAGTGAAACAATGAGTTTGAAAACAATATGTTGATAATTACACGTGTTTAAAAACTCTTACATCAAAAATTAATTTTAGAATACCAGGAAGATTACATGTTACATCAAATCTGTGTTTTGAACCTAAGCCAATAGCTGCCAAAATATTTATAAACATTCCTTTTTCTCTACATGGAAAAAACTCAACACCCTCAGGCAGAGCCCAGCTCTCCCCAGACCACCACGCAGGCTCTTCCCATCTGACATCTTCAGGGATAGACAATCAATGGTGACAAGCTTAAGATCAAGGCTACTGTCACATCAGTTCTTTTCCATAACAGACATCCGAAATCCAGGCTGAGGACCATGATGGCAATTCCGCACATTTGCAGCTCGGCACATCTTCATACACACATGCTCTTAAATATGTGATCACGTCATTTGAAGTGGGGGTAGTAACGAGCACCCACACACACGGCCTCTGAACGGTTTGGTCCATCAGTCCAGGAATGCAAAACACGCTGTCAAGCCTGGACAACTTCCTCACATCCAGATTCCTTCCCCTCAGGCCTTGAGGTATTCTTCTATGGTGTCAAGATAAAACTAAGGGTGTGGAGAAGTGTTTCAGCAGAAGCAATGCGACCCACTGGTCACTGCAACAAGTACTTGGTCACAGAAGACAGAAGCGAAAGGACCCTTGGGGACCCTGGTTCAACCCCACTGCACAGCGGTGGGAAGGAGGAGAAGACGCTCCAGAGTGGTTTCTCATTCTTGGCACTGCGGCCCTTCTGGGCTGGGTGATTCTTGTGGGGGCAGCGTGGGGCTATCCTGTGCACTGTAGGATGCTGAGTGGCATCCCTGGCCCCTACCTGCTGGATGCCAGTAGCAGCCCCTCCCCGGGTCGTGACAACCAAAAATGTCTTCAGGCATTGCTGAGCGTCCCCAGGGTTGGGGAGGAGCACTGGGGAGTGGCTGGCACGGCATCTGGCTTGTTCTACAAGGACTGACACTGTGGCTGCCCTGTGAGAGCGCCAAGATGCACAGGGGACAGGCTGCTCCCCGAGCCTGCGCCCAGGAGGCCCGCAGCCTGGTGCTCTGACCCCTCACTCTCCCACTCTGCTTGTTTTATTTTCTTAGGCCCCTTGTGCCTGAGAAAGACAGCTGCTCGCCGCTCTCTTCTATGCGGCATATGAAAACTACAGGATGCTTCTGCACACATTTTTCAAGGTTCTCCCACATGCAACCTTGCAAGGAAGGGGACAGGTGACATTATCCATTCGTTTACCCCTGAGAGGATGAAGGCTCCTGTGCACAGCCCCATCTCCTGCAGACCCCATGACGGTGTTTAGTTTCTGAAGCCTCCTCAATAAGCATTAGTTTAATATGAACTGTTGACACTTTACAACCACTGATTTTGGTAACGATATCACCATCCCCTCAATTACCTTGACTCTAAACCAGCACAATCTCTGCCTCCTATCCTTCCATATCCGAGCGTCCATCAAAAAAAAAAAAAGAAAAAACTCAAAACTCACTGTAGTGTTATGGACTCCAACTATTAACATTAACTCAGTGCCTCCTTTCTGTCCCAGTACCGCGGGGCTCAACCAAGTGCTCACTGCCTTCTGCCCGGGGTCTTACTCTCCTGTCTCTGTCCCTCCATGCGCCATGCTTGTGCCACAACCCTCTTACTGAAAAACAACCTAACTACGCCCTTCCTCTGCTTAAAAGCCTGCAGTCCTGGGGCCTCGAGAACAAAGCCCCAACTCCACAGCACGGAGTTCTAGGTTCTCCCCAGTCCTGACCCCAATCTTCTCGACCTCCTTTCTCAGCACACCCTCCCCTCTTGACAAACAGCTGACCCGCCACTCACGGGTCACTGACGTGGAAAGACAGCCTGCTCCGTATTGTCCCCTCCACGTAGAAAACAGGCTTATCCCTGCCCCGAGTCTTCATGTTGCCATTCTATCCATCTTTCAAAGTCTACTTCATATACCATCCCCCACGTGAAGTCGACTCTACCCTCCCAAGTTAGAACTGGTTTTCCCATTTCTGTGCTCCCCAGCACACTGCTACCGTGTGAGTGAGCACCCCTGGCTCACGGTCCTGTGTATCTACCTACTCTCTCCCAAGGTCCTTAAGAACTGCATGTGGCTTCCTTCCTCCTCCTCTCGCTCGCCTTTCCTTCCTTCCTTCCCCCAGAGCATCCAGCACAGTCTCTTGCATACTGTAGGTACTCAACACACGCTCACCAAATTTAATTTAAATCACTTAAGTCAAACAACAGTTCCCTGCTCTTTGGTTTTAGCGCTATATCCTTTCCCGTGAATGACTTTTGAACCAGGAATAGAAACAATGGCGTAAGACCATAAATCTTAGGAGGGAAGATTCATCCAATCCTACCTACGCTACACTGGAAGGATTCTTTGTATTTCAGCCTCAATAGATGGTCACCAGACAGTGACAGGGAGCTTGCTATCTCTGAGGCAGAACACTCCTTCACTGGGTAACTCAAACGCTTGAATGGACACTCTTGTGTCAAACGGACAACTTTTCCTTCCTTAAAATGCCTGCTCTCTGGAGCTAGACGGCATGAATGGAAGCCCTTGGCTAAGATGGGCCTTCCAACCCCTGGAGCCCATCATCAGGCTGCCCTAAGCTCTGTACTTTCCACAGGAGCCATGATTCCTAGCTCTTTTCACCATCTCCTCTCCTCCAGCCCATCCCCTCCTCATGACCATCCTCTGGAGGTCTCCCCGTTGGCCAAGACTCCTTTCAACAGGAGCCACGTTGAACGCAATGCTTCAACAGAGCCTCATCAAAGACTTCACAAAGGAATTGAGATCTTCCAATGCAGTACTCCACACTTGAATTATGGCCAAACAAGACTGAATTCACTTTATCAGCCACAAATCACACTGCTGGCATAGAGTTAATAATTAAACAAATTTTCAGAATTTTGTTTTGTTTTGTTTTTATGAGGAAGATCAGCCCTGAGCTAACATCCAATGCCAATCCTCCTCTTTTCTTGCTGAGGAAGATCAGCCCCGAGCTAACATCCGTTGCCAATCATCCTCTTTTTGCTGAGGAAGATCGGCCCTGGGCTAACATCTGTGCCCATCTTCTTCTACTTTATACGGGGCGCCGCCACAGCATGGCTTGACACGTGGTGTGTCGGTGCACGCCCAGGATCTGAACCAGTGAACCCTGGGCCGTCAAGCACTTAACCGTTGCGCCACCGGGGCCGGCCCCCCAGAATGTTTTAAAAACAGTGTTACACCAGATTGTCCCCAATCCATATGCACGGAAATTATTATAAACAGAATAACAAAATAAAATAAAATAAAGAAGCAAAGCCCTAAATGGACAGGTTTGCAGGTTTCCCTGTTACGTCTTAGTGTTGATTTCTGACTCTTGAGTTAACGCACTAAACAGGTGAGCTGTTGCACAGAGTTTTTTATCATCTCGAAATTCTCCAAGTGAGATTCTGTATCTCCAACCCCATCTGCAGCGGAGACCCCCACAAAGACCCATGGGGTGTCTCCACGTGCTCGCCATGCATGCAGCGACCCCACCAGCTGGAAGGACATCTCAGGTGGGACGTAGTTTTCTCTGGTCTGTCTTGCAGAAACTCTCTAATTAGGTCAGCTGGTCTGACGACGCGAATTAAGGCCATCCAGGCTCCACAAATACAATGATTCAATTAAGGACCAACAGGACCCGACTTTCTAAGCAATAATCCAATCTTAGTCCCCACGTGAATACGGTAAGCAAAGAACCACCTGCTTATCAGAGTCCTGAGGAAGCAGCAAGGATGCTTCGAACCTAGTTTTAGGGGAGGATATGGAATCCAGCCTCTTTTCAGAATGTGCTGAAGGTAAGAAGATGCACAGGCGCTCAGCAAGGCTTTCCAACGGACATGTGAAAAGCTTAGCAAACTCCCAGGCCTGTGTTCACAGGAGAAATATGAGAGGGATAATCTTGACTTGGAAATTTTTATGTTAAGTGCTTTTTGTATCTTTGTGAATGAAGAATAATCAAAAACATATTTAAAAAACTTAAGACCTCCATTAACATTGGCTAAAAATTCTTAAAATTAATGGAACTATTAATTATAATTGTTAAGTGTTCAGTATGAGAACATATTTTGAGAGTGTTTTCATTGCATAATCTTTCCACTCTATTTCATCATTGGTAGTTTAGAACTAAAAGTCAAGTATAACACAAATTAATTTAAAACACAAATCAATTTCAGCGTGTTTACAAATAAATGCGCACTTTTAAAATGGGTTCATTTTGAGTCTCCATCCTTTTTAGTAACCCTCAAAATGCTTTAAGCTCATAAGACAGTTATGAGTCATCAATTTTGCAATCAATCAATAAAAACATTATCCTACCTTCCTTAATTATCCACATTTTAAAAGAACATTTATTCCCAAAACAAAGTTTATCAATGGAAATATTTCAATGCTGTCTTATTTTAGGTCTAAATGTGATGTAATTCCTACATGGCACAGAACAAAAATACCAAACTACAAGCTTTTCTATAAGCTATGGGAAAGACGCTCTCGCTTTTATAAGGCAGAAAAAGCCATGGTCATCGTCTTGATTAGCATGTGGCTTAAAGATCACTGTGTGATCTAGAATAATTTTAGGGCCGAATAACATCTAAATAGTCTGGATTTTCGTCCAAGTACAAGCCATGGTGATAGTACTAAAAGGATGTAGTTGGCTTACCCTCTCAGGAGTTTGAAAAGCATGCATCCCAGGGAGAACCAGTCGGCACTGCTGTCATACGCCGTCCCCTTCTGCAGCACCTCGGGAGCCATGTACCCATGGGTGCCCCTAGGGAGAAGACAGTGTACATGCAGTTAGCAGACATGCCCACCTGAGGAGACATAACAGCTCATCAGAGGTCTGGGCATCATTCACGAAATGGCAGCAACTGTGAACAAGGGGGCAAGGACGATGGTGCTTCCACAAGAACGATTCATCCAACGCCCAATGGGAAAACCACCTTTCCGGCCTAATTAGCATAGGAATTAATATAAATAAATTACCATACGAAATAAACATGAAAACTGCGAGCTCCACAGTCTCGTAGTCTCGGAGGTGAAATCTGAAATCTCATTAGTCTTTCTCCACCACAGCTAGGAAGAGCTCAAGGTCTGCCTGTTCCAGAGCTCTTGTGAGGAAATGTGTGGAGCTGGGGACGATGAACAGGAGACTACACTGTGGCACGATGGACCTTGAAGGGATGGGGACGTGCACTCCGCTGTGGCGTCACCCGCCCGTGCTGAGGACCTGTCCTCGCACATGCCTAGGAAGCAGCCCCCACCTACACAGTTGGTGACAGTCCCCAGGAGAGTGGGGAAGAAGTGGGGGCACAAGCCAATAGGTATGTAAGATGGAGAAATCCCGTGTCAGGTTTTAAAAGATGCTGACAGGTCAAAGGACTCAGCCAAGCAAACGTGAAGACAATTTGCAGGAAGTTGAGAAAAATCACTTGGGGGGACAACCATTTTATGAATAATTTGCAGTATCTGCAACTCTAAGTTCTTTTCCATTCCAATTCCCCACCCTTTCTTAAGGAGCTGAGCACGCACTGCTCCATCTCGAAGAGTGAGAGGTGGCTCACAGGGAGCTTTCAAAGACAGGGCCTGAAAGGGCCCCACAAAAAGCCCTATCTGTACATCCTCCAACGTTTCCATCCGTCAATGATAAAATGGGTGGTGAGATCACACCTGCACCCCACAGGGTGGCCGTGAGGATTACACATATGCAATAGACTTAAAATAGTGCTGGCACATAAGAACTCAATCCACGTTAGGGATTTTAATCTCTATTCTTATTTTATTATAATCATTTTGAATTTACTTATATTCAGAAACAGCGAGAATCTGCTCAGAAAAGTGATCCCAGATCATGAACAATCCTGGATCAGCATTGGGCCCAGTGCCATCTGTCTAAGAGTTCTACTTTGAAAGCCTTTTCTCAAACAGTGAAAATGGGCGCTGGGCCAGGCCTCAGAAAAGCTCCTCCATCCAGCACCCAGAGTCTGACAGCATAAGGTCATGGAGCCGCGCCGAGAGCATGGGAGATTTCTCTGAGGGGCAGCCAAACCATTTTCTGGGAAGGTTAAATTTCAGTAGTGCCGGGGAAAATCTCTGCGGTGACCTTTTAACCAGGGATTCTCAAATCAAAACCCGACTGTGGAATGGGAAGATATCGACAAGGATAATTACAAGAGGTTAATGCAGATCAGGTCTCTGAGCTCACAGTGGACACCGTAAAAGCAGAACTCCGGATTGCTGCCACTGTGGGGTCCTGATTCTGCCCACACGGCGGTCACTAGTGCGTCCCGACGTTTCCCACTGAAGCTCCGTACTACTGTTCACACTGCGAGAGCACCTGAATGTCTGCAGACACTGTGACTCGAGACACGGCTTTGTGTTCTTTGATACAGTAAGCTGGTACTCAAGTTAGTTACTGACGATCTGCTCAAGTCCAAAGGGGTTTTTTTCATTATTCATGGCTACTCCACAGTTAACTTTCAGTTTACGATCACTTGATTCCATCATTAAATGAACTCACATCAGGAATCTCAACCACATGCTGCTCTGCAGATGAGCCCACGCCAGACGAAGTCCCAGGATCACACCTGCAGCTCTGAAAAGACCTGAGGAACCAGGTCTAGGCGGAAATTCTGGCCCCAAATCTTTACTCTAGTACTAAGTTGATCATTTCAAAGCCTCGGGGAGTTTGCGCACTTAGTGTAAAGAGCACAAGCTTGGGGGTCAGACAGAACTGGACTTTAATTCTAGCCCCACAATGTGCCAGGCAAGTGACCTTGTTCAAGTCACTTAATTTCTCTGAACCTCAGTTTCCGTGCCATAAAAAGTAGATAATTATACCTATGACGTAGGGGGTCTCTGTGAAGATAACAACAGGTTCAAAGCAGCTAGCCACGCATGCCTGGGACAGTGATGTTCAGCTCATGACACAAGTGCTGTGGCTGTCGGCACCACCACCCCACACACCAGTCACTTTCTGAACAGTTTCCAGGGCTTTTGTTCTTAGCCAAACATGCCTCCTTGATTTAAAAATGTAGTATTTCATTGTGAATTTATCCTTTTTAAGTAGTGGCTTCACTATCGTCATTTAAACATGGAAACCAACCTTCCCCATCATATCCCCTTACACATGCTGTTCAAACACTGAGCACAGCCCACCTTTCAGAGCTGACATGCAAATTACTGTAAGAAGCGTATAAGAAAATAAATAACCCCATATCCGAAAGTTAATTCCTTTGCAAGATTAACTCTTATGAGCTCTTGGATTCCTATTCAGTTGCGACTACACTAAATTGAAGAAATTAGCATACCAAATAGCCGTGGCATTAAAAATTCAAATGACTCTCTTAACAATGTCTAATGAACTCCCTCCGAGAAGCTTACACAACCACAGGTTGTGGCCTAATCATTGTCAAGTGCTGGCAAAATGCTAATGCTTTTATCACCCTACCCCAGATTCTGTAGAAAGAGAGAAACATGTTTATAGAAATGGTGCTATTCACTATTAACACTGGATCAGAGCTTTAAAAGGCAGTTCCGATTTAACGCAGTCCCTCGTCAAGCAGTGCAATTCAGAACCACTTTACTCCAGTCCCACAGAAAGTCTGTCATTTTTCTGCACGGCTGCACAAAATGAGGCTCCTGGGGGTTTCTTCAAGATCATGCAACACGACGATGAATGTTAGCTCAAGATGTATAATAAATGTAAATTTAAAAGGCTCACTGCTAAGAATGATACGTTTAAAAAGAAAAATTAAGCAAAGGTCATCTGTTTTTCCACAAACTACACACCTGTCCCTACTTTCCAGATAAACTGATACCAAAGAAACAGAAATGAAAACCAGTATGTATCCCATTCTGTTTCCGCAGAGCGCTGGGAGAGCCACCTGACAGTCCTCTGTCATTTTAACAGCCCCAGGTCCAGAGAAGTCCTTGCCCAGTGTCAATATGCTCTGATCAAGCTCGCCACCGCCAGAAGCAGCTCAGGGTCCGCCGAGGGTCAGGCGCTGGCCGAGGCCTGTGGTGTCAGGAAGTTTCCTCCACCTGGTCATTTAGAGGGCTGATGCAACACTCAAATCTAACCACACAACCTGCGTGAAAAGCCTGAACTGCAAGTAGATGATTTGTATTTTTAACTAAAAAATAAAAAGAATTCCTAATTTCTCTCCAGAAAAATAAAAGCCATTTTGAAAAGGAGGGAAAAAGCAGAGGGAGAGAGAAACTTCACCTCCAGGCCTTCCCTGGAGAGTTCTATGATGTAAGTTGCTTCTACAACTTCCACGATACATAGCCTTTGTCATCTCTCCTTATGACAACTTTCTGGAATTTATTATTACCTCTACTTTATAGACGAAGAGACTGAGGGTCACAGAGGTAAACTGACTGACTCAGGGTCACACAGCCAGCATGAATTCAGGCGTCTTGCTGAGGGCCCTCTCCTTCGCACAGACCACCCTGCCCCTGAGCAGCCACAGTGGAGGTCCGTCCATGCTCCCCGCAGACAGCGAGAGGCAGCCCACCACTCCCATTTCCTCCCCCGCACCCCGGGATACGGGGTGTTCCCTGACCCGGCATTATCACAGACTGAAATCACCGCCGGCAAGAAAAAACTGGGGGAACAAATGACCAGGTCGGGGTCCGACTGAATAAACGAGTCGCATTAGCAAAATGACGGTGAACAGAGTCAGGGCACTACTCACACACTCGCATGCGGCTTCTTTTTGGAAAAATCACAGGCCAGCCCGAGATCTGATATCCTCACGTGTCCGTGTTCATCCAAGAGGATATTCGCGGGCTAAAGAGAAGGAGAAGACCGTCTTCAAGAGTCCCCAGAATGCCACACGGGCTTTGAGAAATCCTAACACTGCAGGCACTTGTATCTTATTGATTATTTTACCACAGTCTGTTCCTAAACACCAATTCTAGCTTATATCATCACATCCAAACTGTGAATAAACTGAGAATAGTATTTTTCATGTTAACTTCAGCAGGAAAGAGCAGTAATGACAGAAGTGAAGGATTCTACTCATTAGACAATGAAACAGGGCAGGTAACAGGGGAGGGTTAGGACCACAGTGCATCAGAGTTGCAAGCATGTTCTTTTCACTCCAAGAACAGCGAGCCAGACAGGACAGTGGCCTCTCCACAAAGGGAGTGAGTCCACTGGCTTCTTGGCTTCTACAGACTACGAGAACTTTGGAGAATGCGACCACGAAGCACAGAACGGAAAGGAATCTTGCAAGAATGCACAAATACTGGCCTAAGAAATCAAAATATTCTGCAGTGCCACACTAATCCTGATAAATGTCATTTCTGTTTACTGGTACATCATCAGCATAGGGCCCTACCAGATGACCAAATACAATTTTGACCACAACTCTGATGAAATGTATCCATTAAGATTCGATTTAGTCGGCATAATCATGGAAAACAAAGCTCCTCTCTCTAATATACATTGAATTACAGTCATCTTAATAATATTTTTCTGCTGGAGATCAACTATTGTTTTGCTCGAAATAAAAATAATGGCATGCTTTATAAAAATGAAGCATGAATAATCATGAGTGACTAGAATTAAGTTTGAATAGAAATTAAATAATACCACTGTGCACTAAATAGCTTAGAAAACAAAAATTCAGCATAAAGATGATGAGAAACCAGTTACAGATTTAAATTAAAATGTATTACAATAGCACTTCATGGGCCTTCAGCATGCATTTTATTCTTCTGCAAAAATCCCATGAGGAAACAAAATGTCATGTGCTAACCAGTATCTAATTATTTCTAGTTCAGTGAAAATACATTTTTTCTGCTTTATGTTCATACAAAAACTAAGGGAATCATTCTTTAACCTTGAAGAAAGCTTTAAAATTTACAAAGTATTTTGTGAAAAAAATAATATGCTCGAAAATAAAATATATTTTAGATTCTTAGAAGGTAACTTAAAAGCTAATTCAAAACATCCTAGCTCCTTAGAGAAAGGAACACAAGCTGTATATTTCATTGGTGCATTTCAGCTGGTCTCCCCTTGGGTTCATTCAAGAAGGAATCTGAGATAGGAGGCAAACACACTCTTCCAGAGTCTTCTCATCCTATTGGGAAACTGTCACTCCTGTCATTTTTCTTCTCATTATTACTTACACATTTATCTATTCACATGAGCATTTCTACATTTTGTCATGGTCCCTTTATCCCTATCCCTGTCTTCAGCCTGCTGGCTGGATGAGTGCTACCACAGATGTACTGAGCAAAGTCCTACCTCCACCCTTCACACAGAACCCTGGTCCAAGCACCACGATCTGGAATGGAAAAACTCAGAATAGACTTACTGCATTTTTTCAAGTCCAGTGAGATTTAAAGAGAACAGAAGCCCAAGTACAGCAGTCTGGGGCCATGTAGTTTAGGGATCTAAAAATCGATTAGCGATTTTTCAGGCAATCTCAAAACATCATGAAGCTCCGAGACGGGCCTTTGGAGGACGTTCTGCAGGCCGATCAGCCACTCCACCCCCATCTGAGCAGCCCTGCCTCCAATGAGTTATGATGTCTTGATTCACCACTGTATACGCCCCGGGGAAGACAGATGTTCTTCGCTTGTTCATCTTGTACATCTCCAGTTCTAGCACAGAGCCATGGCCAAATCAGCTGCTTAGTGAACATTAAGTGAATTACAACTAATTGTAAAATGAAAGGCACCAAAAAACTCCTACCCTGCTTTTCATCAATTAACCAATGAAAATGTTTGAGTTAGTGTCTGAGCTGCACCAGGCACTGAGGTGACGGTGACGACTAGGACAGACGTGAGTTCCTAGAACAGAGTTTACACTCTGGAGGAGACCGACCTCCACAGATGAAGATGTGATCGGGGAAGATGAGGAAGTCGACAAGATCCAGTTAATGAGAAGGGAAGGTCTGAAGGGCCCCGACTGCAACACCTACTGCACAGGTCCAGTAAATAGAGCGGGTCTGTAAACAGCCTCACCTTCAAGTCTCTGTAGACGACAAACCGGTTGTGCATGTGTTCCAGCCCCAGGATGATTTCAGTGGCATAGAACCGCATCTCCTTCTCAGAAAACACCCCATGCTGTGAAAGGTGATAGTGCAAATCGCCCCCTGCAATCAGAGATGCTGAATTTAATTCAAAGCGTGTTAACTTAAAGGAATCAAAAATCGCTGTCATCCTAAATAGTTAGGACGCAGCAGAAAAAGGTAAACTATGGTTCTGCTTTTTCTCTATGCCTACTCTGATTTCTGCAGTTTGACAAAACAGTGTAAAAATTATAGAGAAAACTTAGACAGTGAGAAGACTTGGGTGCAGCAATGACTGGGACGATATATAACAAAGTCACTGGTCTCAGGTTGGTGGCACAGCTCCCAGACACACCCTCACAGGCAGGGATTAGCTACTCTGCTCTGATTACTTAAGTCTTGTCTACTAACTGAATCAACCTATGCAGCGATCCAGGAGACGGCTCAGCAACTGGCTCTGTGGACAATAAATAAATAAATAAGTTGATCTTTTTTTTTTTGGTGAGGCAGAGTGTCCCTGAGCGAATATCTGTGCCAGTCGTCCTCTATTTTGTATATGGGTTGCCACAACAGCATGGCTTGATGAGCGGTGTGTAGGTCCACACCCAGGATCCGAACCTGCGAACCCCAGGCTGCTGACGCGGAGTGTGCAAACTTAACCACTATGCCATCGGGTGGACCCCTGATCATACTGATAGATATCTGACAAAGCAAATACAGTTAAGTTTTAACTGGTAAAATCCAAGGGGCGGCTATTTGGGTGTCCCCAGGGAAATTCCTTCAACTTTGCTATATACTTGAAGTTTTCGTAATAAAATGTTGGAAAAAGTAAATAGTCGCGTGGCCTAAAGTTACAGAGACAGAAAATGCCACAACAGGGTGAGGGAATGTTTTATAAACTGTAAGGGAAAAGCTGCTATTGATCTATAACAGTTAATGTGTGTCCAACTTTATAGCCCCGGCTTTTATAAGCATCTTCCCTCTCACAGACATGTATCCTTGCATACCTACTACCAGCTCAAGACGTGGAAGATCTCCAACATCCCAGAAGGTCCCCGTGCCCTCCCCAGCCAGTGCCTCAGCTCCCAGAGGCTGGTTAGCTAAGGCGACGCTACTCGCACCTCTCCGGAGCACCATCCATTAGTTTTGCCTCTTCTGAGAGTCACATAAATAGGAACATACAGATTAAAGGCTGCTGTGCCCAGCTTCTTTCACCCTTATGTCTGTGAAACTCCTTCATATTGTTGGATAGATCTGGTTTTAAACCAAACACTCAAAACATAATCAAACTTCAAAAAACCCTAGGTATTTCATTTGTTCAACCGTATGCCTTTTTATTTCAGTTCTTGTTACTAAAAATACTTGGAATACATACCATGCCGATTTCTAATATTAGAAAACTACCTTTCTAGGTAAAACGTTTTCAGCATTCTCAGGGGCATTGTGCATAGTTTAAAAGATCAATGTACAGTACTGCAGATTTAGACAATGCAGACGATCGGGCTAAAATCTGTACTGGCCCTAAGTCAGTCCTTCGAAGTTGGTTTTTAAATACATTTCTGTCTTTGGCCTTTATTATTAAACTATGAAGCATTTCATTTCTAAACGCTGGGGGTCAGGAAACAAGCTAATTAAAGATCTAGGCCAGCTGCATTCCAGAAAATTGAGTTTTACTGTAAGTATTTTATGAAAATCTTTTCTAGAAAATGCAACTTCCTGGGGAGAGATTGGGAGGGCCAGAGGGAAATTGCAATCAACATTTTAAAATGAATTTTAACTGAAAATTGAAGACTAAAAGGTTTCCTTAAACTTCAGGGGGAACCTCATCTGAAAGATCTAAACTGCCACTCTGCCTCGACTAATGCAGCTAAGATATCACATCACTGCGAAGTGTCTGAGTGTACTCAGACTTCCCAAGTGTGGCTTACCGTTCATCAGATCCAGGATGAAGCAGAGTTTATCTGGAGTGTGGAAGGCATAGGTCATACAGACAATGAAAGGACAATCCTAGAGTGAAAAAACAAGGTTATAAGAAAAGTAAATCTGTCCTAGAAAGCGCATCTGCCACCAAACACCATCTCTGGATTCTTATCCACGCCCCTGCCTTGTGCATCGAGCACAGACATGTACATGGTAACTTTAACAGCCACAGTAAAACCGATCTGGTTACTGACAAAATACATAGAGACACAACATTACTAATCGGAGCAGACGAACTCGGAGGTCCTCTCTCACTCAGGTTCAATCTTGACTCTTCTATCTACATCTTCAAAAAACTCAGATTCTACAGAAAAATATTACTGCCTTGCTAGTCTTTTTGCTGGTCTACATTTTGGTTCTGGCTAGTCAAATATCCATTTCAATCTTTGATTCTAAAGGTGGAAGAACCATACCACAGGAGGAAAAATGGTATCTGTATTATTGTCTTGAAACACTGAGAATAAAAATGGAATTAAATTAGCTTTTGAAAGTGGAAAAAAATACCAGGGTCAGGAACTGAATAACTCAATTGCAAAGATGTCAGTTTCCCCCAAATTAATCTACAGATTACATGCAACCTTAATTAAAATGAAAATTTATAAGCAGATTGTAAAATTTATATGGAAATGTAAGCAGCCAAGGAAAGTTCAGATACTCTTGAAGAAAAACAAACCTGGAAAACTTACAGTGCCAGATATCAAGACTTATTACAAAACAACAGTAATTCAGACAGTGTGGTATTAGCCCAAGGACAGACAACTAGACCAATGGATCAGAACACAGAATCCTGAAATAGACCCACACGTAAATGGTCACTTGATGTGTGATAAAGTGACACAACAGGGTGAGGGGGAAAGGATGACTTTTTCAATCAATGGTGTTAGAGCAATTGGATATCTGTACAACAAAATACAAACACTGACCCCTACCTCACACCACACACTAAAGTCAACTCCAGGTAGATATAAACCTAAATGTGAAAGGTAAAACAATAAAACTTCTAGAAGAAAACAAAAGAAACTATCTTCATGATCTTAGGGTAAGTAACATTTCTTAAATGAGCCATAGAAAGCACTAACAATAGAAATATTGATAAACTGGACTAAAATAAAATTAAAAACTCTATTCACCAAACAACATTAAAAAAAGTAAAAAGGCAAGCCACAGAATGGGAGAAGATATTTGCACACAAATGACTCATATCTAGAATATATAAAGAACTCAAAAATCAAGAAAGAAAAAGCAAACAACCCAAAAGAAAAATGGCAAAAAAAAAAGAAAACAATAATAAGTAGGCACCTCACATAACAGGATACCACATGGCCTGCAAGCCTATGAACAGATGCTCAACCTCAGTTGGCCCCAAGGAAATGCAAATTAAAATCACAAAGTGCTATCACTAAAACCCATGAGAATGGCTAAAATTTAAGAAACCAACAATAGGAAGTGTTGGAAAGATAGGGAGTAAATGCAACTTCCATATACGGCTGCTAGGAGAGCACAATGGTACAACCACTTTCACAAGCTGTTTGGTGGTATCTGCTCCAGCTGAGCACCACCTGCAAACCCTATGACCCAGAAATTCCACTCCAGGGTAGCAATCTGTACCTACGTGCACCAGAGAACAGCATGAGAATGTTCCTCACAGCACTATTCAAAATCGCCCAAACCGCGAAATAACCCAAATGTCTACCAACAGTAGAACGGACACATAAATTGTGGCCTATTTATGCAATGGCATACTCTAGAGCGGGGTCAGCAAACTTTCTACCAAGGGCTGAACAGTAAATATTTTAGGCTTTGCAGGCCCCATACAGTCTCTGTCATATATTCTTCGTTTCTTTACAATCCTCTAGAAACGTAAAAATCATTCTTAGTTCATGGACTGTACAAAAAAAGGCCACAAGCCAGATCTGGTCCACGCGCCATACATGATTTGCTGTCCCGTGTATTTAGTTACAGAATGCACTAGAGCTTTGGTGGTGAACACGATGTCGTGTAGACAGAAGTCAGAACACAATGGTGTACACCTGAAATTTATATAATGTTATAGACTAATGTGACCTCAATAAAAAAAAGAGAGAATGCACTATTGCCATGTGCGACGACACAGATGAACCTCACAAGGAACACTGAGTGAGAGAAGCCAGACACAAAAGGGTACACTTACACAAAGTTCAAACACAGGCAGAGCTAAATTACGGTGTTAGAAATCTGGGTGGTAGTTAGCTTGGGTGTGGGGTAAGTGACTGAAGGGGGCATGAGGAGATTTCTGGAACACTGGTAGCTTTCCATCTCTTGATCTGGGTGCTGGGTACACACTCATGTGTTCCCTTGTGAAAATTCATCAGTACTCTGCTAGATCTATAACTATTTCTATTTAGATTCTTTACATACAGCGAATACTTGCCACTCAACTGATTCAAATAAAAAATGGCATACAATATCTACATCCACTTTCTTAACAGAAACAAAGAATTATTAAATTCCACAGAAAATATTCAAGTTTCAACAGAATAATCTATAAACAGAATTGACATTGTTCAACCCTCTATATTAATGGCATACAGACAAATTTGAGTTAACACATTCCTATATGTTAAAGATTCATGAACTTGAATTCAATTTCCATAAATCTTCCGGAGGAAATTGCTCCAGAATGAATTACAAAATTCATTTTGTGGTTACTCAGTTCTCCTTAGAGTTCTGTTGAGACGGTGTTCGTGTTTACTGATTTCAAGACTGATTTTGCTTTAAACAGGTAAAATAAAGGTGCTATCCTTTTTCTGTCAAAAGCCATGTGGCCTTCCCGGGGGACAGCGTCCCACTTGGAACCCACTGACATCTCACCAGAACTTTCCAACAGCCTACTGAAGATGGCTCATCCTACTCCTTCCTGAATGGGGCTCCCCACAAACTCTGGTTCCTGATCTGAGAGCAAACTCACCTGTAGAGAAACAGGTGGACCTAGAACTAAGTACGGCCGGGGTCTTGCCCAGCGTGAGAGGGTAACTGCACTCCCTCTCCAAGGGGACAAGCAGACCCTGCCAAGGGGGGTTTCTGCACATGCTGGCATATGATCCTCCTACCAACAGCCCTGAGAGGATGGCAAAAGGTTAAAGCATTCTTAAAGCGTTACATTATTAGGATGGGCCGTGAACTGTAAATTGAGACTCATGGGTTCCCTGAGGAGGAAGTGCTCTCAGAAAAAAAAAAATCACTTGGTCCAACTTCTTTATTTTACAGACAAGGAAACTACACCCTCTAAAAGGGAAATGACTCGCCTGAGGTCACAAAGAAATGTGGCAGCCAGCCAAGATTCAACCCCCAAGTCTCCGGGGCCTCTCCAGAGTTCTCTCTATGTTCTGCTACTTCTAAAGGCAAGGTTTCCATAGCGACGTAAAATGAAGCTCAGCTAAAGGGATACAGTTCGGTTACTCCACAGAACTCACTGATCGCAACCCTCATCTCTCAGGTGCTGAGCAGATGATATACTCAGTCTCCTGTGGCGTCCGAGACATACAGAACCGAATACTGACCAGTGTGGAAAAAGAGGCAGCAATGTAATGACGGGGTTGATCCAGTTCCAAAGATAATTATGGTGAAGATGTTCTGCCTTCGTTACAAATTAAAGCTCGATAAGAAGTGGCCGAATTTTAGAGTCAGACCCTTAAATAAGGCTCCTCAGCAAGGAAGTGTCTTTGATTTCCCACCGGCAGCACGCAAAACAGCTTGCGTTTTGCAGGAACTCTGTATAAAATTGTGATAAAATAGACCATGAAGTAGTTCCTTAAGAAAATTTCTCCACACTGCAATCAGAGGACTCTTTTCAAACTGCAGGCCCCACCATGTTATCTTCCTACTTAACGCTCTTTGTTTCCAAGTGCTGTGCGATTTTTAAAACTTCTCCATGTTGGCCTGGAAAGCTCTTTACAGTCTGGTCTGGCCTCTGTCTGCCTCTCTCTCTCTCTCCAGCCTCATCTTGTGCTGAAGTGCTCATCACTTCAGACCCAGCTATGCCACCTTCTCTGACGTCCTCAAAGCCTCCGTGCTCAGGACCCAGACGCCACGGCACCTCCTCTGCCTTCAGAGGAGCATTCCTCGACTACATCTCCCCCCTCCTAAATGCCTGCCGAGCACTGTGTACCTGTGCTTTACAGCTCTTGCCATGTGTTCCCGCCATCTACGCACTCCCGAGATTACCTGAATTATTTAAGGAAGATGCTGGCTGCTCTCCCAGCTACAGACACACTCACCCTGTTCTCAAACATGCAGATTTCCCTTTTTTCTACCCAAGAATTACAGAATAAGACAGGCAACAATGTTTCCTACTGTCTCTCGGGGATGGAGGGTAGGAATACTCAATTTGAGATTGAAAGGAAAAAAAACCTTCTAGTAAAAAAAAAAACAAAGGCTGAGTGGCCGCAGTTCAGCTGCACGCCAAGACCCCAAAAAATCGTGTTGATACAGGCGGATCCACAGCTGAACCTACTGAGGCAATCTTAAACTAAAGATCACTAAAAACCTATAAACAGTGGTTTTCGACTAGAAAAAACAATTCCAAATAACTTTACCACAACTCTTTTGCTTAAATTATGTATTTATAACTGAAAAAAAAAACTAAATAGTTTTGGTATTTGAATAAAAAATATAAACGATTCTTTTAGATTAGTTCAAGCCAGTAGCCCAATATAAGCCCAATTTTTCCTTTATTCCCTTAGGGGTAAACTAGTGAGAAACTATACAACTACAACATTCTCCCTCACCTGAATAAAATAAACATAAAAACACTACATGAAAATTGCAAGTATTTTTTTTCAATACTAAAAATTGTTTCCATAGGCTTTCTTGAGAATAAATATCCAAGCCTTTGAGCTAACTCACTGAAAATTAATATTTTAATAACCGCTTACAATCTGCAGTAAGCACATATCCACGTTTAAAATTTAAGATGAAAGACATTTCCAACAGAAATTAGAAGCCAATGCCATTCATACTGATTCCAATACAATGAGCAAGATACTCAGTTTCCATTCCCACCAGTAAAAACTTGGTCACACACACAGGATAACTCTTATTTGAAATGTTTAATGTCCACACGTCGGGAGGCAGAGGCACATAATTAGAAATCATTTATCGCTATGGTGTTTTCATTTGTTATAGTTGAGCTAAATCATGATATTCGTTTGTTTCACAGCAGATAGCCTTTCTAGAACCACTTAAAACCAATGCTAGAATAATATAAACTACGATCCAATAAATCTAGGTGATAACCAAAAACACGGAGCCCGCAAAGTGAGGATGGGAAAGGAACAGTGAGATTCTAGGAGTCCAGAGACTTGGGGCAAGGAAATTAACCTCCCTGGGTTTCAGATTCCCTGCTTACTACACGAAGGGATTCTCGGATTCACCATTAAAATTTGATTCTTTCAAATCCTTTGGGTGAAGACGACTTTACTTAGAACCCAGCCATGATATCTGGAGGCCCCCACATGTCTCACGGTGGATAAACCTTCCTGGCTTGGTGTTTAACATTAAATTCTTATGTGAGCTACACAGCACAGATCCAGCCATTCCATGTTCATTTCATGCCTTTCTTTCTAGATCCCAACCCCGTGTGCCCCTCTGAACACTGCATGATGACAGGCCTGCTGGTGTGCACACGCATGCCCAGGTTTCTGGGATGGTGGGTTTTTCTGGATGTGTCTTTATATACGGTGGCATCTGTACAAATAAATAAAAGCCAAGCCAAATAATACCATTAACAGAAAAAGAAATCAGAATGGAAAGCTGTTTTGCAAGTAAAGAAGGTAAATGTTTACACACGTGCTGAGCTAAAAATGATAGTTTGGTGTACAAATAAAACGTCCAACAGGTGGAAACACAGTGCTGGAAACGGAAAGGACCAAAGTCCACAGCAGGTCACAAGCAGCAAGTGCTGAGAAGATAAAGTCATCTTCAAAGAAACGCTGACGGAGGACAACCCCGGAGGGACAACTCAGATCTGACGGCCCCAAGTCACTTCCTCTCTGTTTGCTTAGGAAGAACAGCAGCCACTTTTCTCTCTCATTTTCTTCTCTGGGTTATCCTTCTCGGTCAGGCAGCCGATTCATAATCATACTCATGTGATTTTTTCTTGTTGCTATGATTACCTTCTGCCATCTCTGCAACCATATTTGCAGAAAAGGAAGGCATAAACAGGCACTGAAGGGAGAAGTCGTGGGTGTGCATAACGATGGATGCTGGTACTTGTTAACTCCCAAATGAAACAGAGATAATACTTGAATGACACACTTTTTACATTAACTTAGCGCTGCCCCCTGCTTACATTCTAACCCACCCAAGAATTGGCTAGCCCCATAATTTGTCAGAAAAAAATGCCTGTATTTTAAACAAATTGTCCCGATATAAAACAAATACACACACACACACACACACACAAAACAGTGCTCAAAATTGAATACTTACTCCTGTACTCACAAGAGACAACATAATCCTTTCATTTAAGGCTAACGTTTCGCCTTGTTTCATCTTGATCCTCTTCTTATCTAAGCATTTCATTGCATACCTAGAAACATAAATGTTATTGAAAAATCCACACTGAAAATATATCTACGCTGATTTAAATAATACACATCACACTGAGGAAAACTTCTAAAGACTTGGACAGCATTTAAAAGAAGCAAAATGGCACCCAAGTGCCATGCAAAAAATATTTTTTTACTTTGCATGTATTAAGATAAAAATCAACTCCCCTCTCTAAGAGGGAGAACGTAACTCCCACTCCTTAGGTTGGGGCCGCACATAGTGAGTCCTTTCCGAAGGGCACAGTATCGGGGGAGAGAGGAGAGTAACTGCAGTGCAGAAGCCTCACAAACACGACCTCAGCCAAGCAATCAAGGTCACGGTCAACAGCGATAAGCATGTTAATAACACATATCCCTGATGAGAACGGCATTTTGCCTCTGGGGTCCTCCTTCCAAAAGCCCATAACCCCAATCTAACCATAAGAAAAGCATCAGATGAACCTAAATTGAAGACATTCTACAAGACACCTGACCAGTGCCTCTCAGAGCTGTCCTGGCCATCAAAAACAAGGAAAGTCTGAAAAACTGTCACAGTCTAGGGAGCCTAAGGAGACCTGATGGCTAGATGCAATGTGGGATCCCAGAACAGAAGACACTGGGTAAAAACTACGGAAATCTGAATAAAGTAGAGCCTTTAGTTAATAATGTCTTAATGCGGGTTCAGTCGTTGTGACAAATGTACCACACGAATGGAGGGTAGGGTACGGTGTAGGGCACATGGAACTCCCTGTACTCTCTTTCCTGTAAACCTAAAACTATTCTCAAATCAAAAGGTCATTTTTTTTAAATCAAGCAATAATTAAGATAGTTCTATCATTACATGAATAGAAGTTCCAGTTAAATAAGAGCATAAAGTAGATGAATATAAATAAATTCAGTGAAATAAATCTGCATGTACTGCTGCTGCCTAGTACCACTATGGGTGTGTGTTGGGAGGCCTGTAGGTATAATATTCAGCATTTAGGAACTGTGAATTCAGCAGCGGTCAAGATTTTACAGGAGTGCAGAGTGTAAGACTCCAAAATATTGGCGATCAACAAAATGGGAAGGAAGTGCGTTCAAAAAAAGCATATCATCAAACGCTATTTAATGGATTTGTTTTTAATCTTGATGTTGAAGTTACCATATTTCAAGTAATAAAAAGAATCAATAAGATTTTTATATTAAAGTTAGTTGAGAAGAAACAGTTGGCAACTTAAGATTTCTGAAAACTTGGAACAAATTTATATTAAGGAAATACAGACACGTTATTTGGTATGCTCTATAGGCACAGGTTAAAGAAAGCAGCATGCTTTTTCAGCGGGACAGTAGAAAGCTGAAAGGAAGATTTTTACAAAGGTTTTAGGGGCTTGAAAATTCTGTGTGTATAGCCATAGATTCCCACTGATGGACTACTTCATAAGGCCCAGGTACACCACACAGACAGGTGTCTGGCTGTGGTAGGACACAGAGCATCCACTTATTTCTAACGGACCATAACTTATAATGTTATGACTTACAGCAAAACATAGAGGGGCAAATTTAATTTTTTTGTGTGTGTGTGAGGAAGATCAGCCCTGAGATAACATCCACTGCCAATCCTCCTCTTTTTTTTTGCTGAGGAAGATTGGCCCTGGGCTAACATCCATGCCCATCTTCCTCTACTTTATATGGGACGCCTCCACAGCGTGGCTTGATGAGCAGTGTGTAGGTCCATGCCTGGGATCCGAACCTGTGAACCCCAGGCCGCCGAAGCAGAGTGCGCAAACTTAACCACTACGCCACCAGGCCAGCCCCTCAAATTTGATATTTTTAGCCACCCCTCCAGGAGTTCTTTATAACAAATCCATTAACGAGACATTAATTTGCGTAATTATGGGATCAAATATTGAGAATACAGCAAGTGACAGGTTCTTTAAATGTTTAATTTTTATGACAAAGAATTTTCAAAATGCTTCATTCTACTTCTGTCACCACCCTCTACCATGACGGCATTTCACAAAACCTTTAAGCTGCAGTCCAGAGCAGACGGCCCACACAGGCCTTGAGCCCCTGAGGAAGTAGGACGACCTGAACAGGCTCCTAAGGGTAGGCGGCCGCCACGTCACTGATGGGTTCCAGGGCCACCGCACAGGGAACTGGCAGCCTGGAGACTGTGGAGGACACGCCCGAGGACTCAGAGGAGCTGGGCCTGGCCACTTTCTAGCTGCGTGACTCCTGGGAGGGGTCTACCCTTAATCTATAAAATAGGAGATTTTATTTACCAAACACTGGCTGTTTCTGAGAGTTACACGAAATAATAAACGTGCATGAAGAGACAAATTGATATTATTCACAGAACAACAGCATGTGACAGAGTAGATATCATAAATATCTTGACAAGTGACAACAATGAAGTAAAACAAACAAATTTAGTGAAATGTAACAAGTGACAAGCAAAGTGTATCATTTAGGATCAAAAAGTCCACTGTGCAAGCACAGAATAGGGAAGAACGTTCCATAAGTGACTCTGTTTACTAACACTCCCTCTGGGATAGGCAGTGTTCTGAACACTTTATGATGTATTATTTAATTCTCACACAAGGTAGGTGCTTTCACTATTCCTATTTTACAGACTAGGATATAGAGGCCCCAGGAGGGCACAAACTCTGTCCATGCCAGAGAGTGTGGAAGCTGCCTCCAACCTAGCCGCGTGACGCCAGGACCCCCACTCCGGATCACTAGGCTGTCCTGTCTCAGCGTGACACCAGACTTCAGACACCTGGGTGCCAGGCATTGGGTTCACCCTATATGCGGTCCCAAAGCAGGAAGAGAGCAATGGGCACAAATTAGTGAAGGTATATTTCAGCCCCCAAATAATCAAAAACAGGCCAACTATTGGACCTGTCTGAAAACAGAAAGGGCTACTTGACAAAGCCGTCAGCGCCCAGTCCTGGGAAGGAACCAAGCCGAGGCTGAGTGCCCACCTGTAGGCGACGCTGGGGCAGCAGGGGGAGGTGGGCACTGAATTAGGTGACCTCAATTACGTCTTCTTACACTGACTCAGTGATTTATAAATGAAGCTTCACAGACTACCCTTCTTGCCCATTGTTCTAATATGGCTGTCACTTGGTTAAACTTGTAGGTCTGGGTCTATCAAATTATATTTTTCTATTCTCTTTTGCTTTCAAAAATATGTTCACTTAAACTGCTTCTATACTAAAAAAAAACTCCCCCCCCACTGTTAAGAATTCCATCATTCATTTTCCAGGAGACCCTATACCCGGCTCACGGCACTGAATTGCCTCACATCAACCTCCCATGAGGCAAGCGACTCAGATGAGTGATGGAGCCCCGAGATCACGATCCGATCAGAATCCTCGGAGCAGGGCATGCTGCTCACCCGCGCCCGAGCTACCCATCTATGGAACCAACGCTTCCTGGAATGCTACGTCACCCAAAATGGCATACACTAAATCATAGGTGGGTCATTGTTTAGAAGGGAATGTCTCTCTTCCGTAAAGCAGAGAATTCTCTGCACTATGACTGGATGGAGGGGCTATACGCAATGCCCCTTCTTGGTCACTTCTGGGTCCCCAGTTCCTGGCCCACAGCCTGAACCATGGTGGGCTCGCAATGCCTGGTTACTGGTTAACTTCCCACTTAGCCCTAAGAGGTGCAGGTTTCAGCTTATTTTTCTCATTTACTATGCTTAACAAAATATAGTCTATTTTTTCTGAGGTAAATTACTTCAGGAGCGAGATCATAGGCTTCCATATACTTATGTAGGGATTTTCTTTGGATACAAGCATAAAATCCTAATATTCCCAGCAAAATATATGAGCATAAAAGCTTACATTTTTCCAGTGTCTGCTTTCCTGCAACCATATACTTCACCAAATCCTCCTCGTCCAATGATCCTGTGTACGCTGAAATCATTCATGGTCAACTGTGATTTCAAAATACAAAACAGAAACATAAAATTGCATAAAAATTATGTTGTTGTTTTCACACAAAACATACACACTTATTAAAATAGCAATTCTGGTGTAGGGATCTGCCCTTTCCATGAGTGATTCCTCAGACTGAGAGATAAGATGCACAAGGTGGCAAGACTTTCTAGAACTTTCTTCTGGTCCACCCCCAAAATGCACACAACAGAGGCAAGTGGGAAGATGACAGAGCAGGAGTCAAGTTAGATTGCTTTTCCAATCTCATAAATCTTAGGTGACAAGACACATACCTTGAAGACAAGTGAGCATGAAATTTCTAGTTAAAATGAAAAGCAGCCTCAGCGACCTTGAAGCCAAAAGTTTGCGAACAGTCCAGCAATTCCAGGAACTGTCATGGCAGAAAATAAGTCTCCATCAAGGACTTCTGTGTTTTCATAATAGTGGGCCATATGATCAGCAAACCCAACAGATGCTGGCCATGTGAATTTTTTATCGATAACATCAGTGAATAGAGACGATTCATGCTTTTTGGCATGTGAGCATGAACAAGACTAAGTGTGAGTAAAGTATATAAAGAGGCTTTATTCATAAGCATTTCCTTTTGCCAACAGTATCTCAGTAACGCCCAGCTTCCTAAGTAGTTTTAATAGCATTAGACGGTACAGGGGCAGATAGTGAGTCCTACGCTCATGGTAAGAGGCCAAGGTTCATGGTAATAGCAAATGCCTACTAGTTTATGTATCATGGCAAGTTAAGGGTCAGATTCTTGAAGGGTCCCCCAAACAACCCTTAAAACATCATGTCCGCGGTCAGGTAGGGCATTTGGCCCAAAGGCTTCACGTTTGATGCTCAGAGGACACAGGGACATGAGGACACCAGGTGTGAAGGAGCATAAGCATAAGAAAGACCTATAGCAGATATATGAGACTTTTTTTAAAATGTGTCATTGCCTCTCGCTTCTAAATCCTGCCAGGAAATGAGATGGAAAGGGGAAGTTAAAAAAAAAAAAAAAAAGGAATCCCAACAGGACCGTTCAAGTAAAAACTCAAAAAAAAGAAAAAATCCAGTTGATTATTTCTTTTTCCCAATTGCAAACTTATGGGAAGGTTGGAAGGGAGAACTGGAAAAAAAAAGTAAGAGAGGCTGTACAAAGAAATGTGCATTCTAAAAGTGAAGTAGGGATTATGCCCTAGAATTACTGACATTGAAAGCTAAAAGAAGATGAAATGCTAAGAAAACACATGTTAGAAAGTAGTGTGCGTTTGAGGATTGCTTTTATCATTCTCAAAATAATAAAAAAACAAGATGAAACTTTGGTCTAATAAAAGATGTCATCATTTTTATTACATGCTTACATTTACTAATAAAAAGAAAAGAAACTTTGCCAGGATGGCAAAAGACAAGGGCATACAGGAATTACATTACGTAGAAGACTGGCATTTTTACTACTATTTCCGTTAAAGGGTCAATTACTGCCTAAAATATCCTTTCTTAATAACCACATTCTCATACGAATATGAATAAAGAGAATAAAAATTCCGATGTTTACAACTGGGTATGGGGGGATGAATTTTTCATACGTAAAGCTGTAAAAACGACATCTGTTTGGGCAGTGTATTGCCCTTGGGAGTTCGCTCCAGAATAAAGTATTTTCTCACGAAGTTAAGCCAGAGGAAGTTTTTCTTTAAAAAAAGAAAGAAAAAGATGATACTCACATGGATATTTAATTCTACATTTTTCCACTGACAAAATCTAGTGAACTTGTCACTAAAAGAGAACATACATAATTACTGAAAAGTTAACTATCAAATTAACTGGATTTAAAGAACAGTGTTATAAAATAAACTAGGATTGTACTACTTTGTTGCTTCTCAATAGAGCGTTTCTCAAACATTTTTTCACAAAATGAAAGACTTCACGTTTCTCCTTTAATTGCCATTACGCTGCGGTAACATCTTTATCAAGTCAGCACTGTCCAATAGGAGGATAACACAAGCAACGTGTATAATTTAATTTTAATAATACACTATATTTAACCCAACATATCAAAAAGTTATCATTTCAACAGATAATCAATATAAAATTATTAATGAGATATTCTACATCCTTGTTTTTATACTAAGTCTTTGAAATTCAGTGTATCTTCTGCACTTATGGTCCATCTTAATTCAGACTAGTCATATTTCAAGTGCTCAATGGCTATATGTGGCTAGCGGCTACCACACTGGACAGTATAGCTCTAAATGACAAAAAATCGGGGCCGGCCCCGTGGCTTAGCGGTTAAGTGCGCGCGCTCCGCTGCTGGCGGCCCGGGGTTCGGATCCCGGGTGCGCACCAACACACCGCTTCTCCAGCCGTGCTGAGGCCGTGTCTCACATACAGCAACTAGAAGGATCTGCAGCTATGACATACAACTATCTACTGGGGCTTTGGGGGAAAAAAACAAAACTATGCCCTTGGACCAAATCTGGATGCCCCTGTTTCTATAAATAAAGTTTAAAAAAATAAAAAAAAAATGACAAAAAATAAATATTCTATTATAAGAGCAGCAAACCCTCAGACAGTGCTTCTCATGTGCCACGCCCTGCTCAATTACTCCTCCCAACAACTCCACGACCACGTACTAGGATGATCCCCATTTTACAGCGGAGGGGACCCAGGTTTGCTCAAGGCCACACAGTGAGAGGACGGGTGGATCCGAATTTGAACCCAGACTACGCACTGCCTCTCCAAGATGCCAACAGTACAGGTGAGAAACGCTTAGACCAGAACCAGAAGGGGCACTACGTCACACTGCACTGACAGGACCCCACAATCACTCAACTGCTTGATGAGTATCTTCTCCATCCACGAAGAAAAAGCATCTATCCCATCTCTATTTAATACAGACATCATTTTGATTACCTCTCTCATTAATGAGCAACATATCTATAAAGTGTTTGTGTTTTAAACATTTTCAAAAGAAATACGCTCTACATCAATACTCCTTAAAAGCAAAGAACATTCTTTGTGATTGTTGGATTTCATCTACCCCCAACATGATTCCTTATACAGACACAGTATTCAGGGTTCTCAGAATGAATGAATGAATGAATGAATGAAAAAGAAAGGAAGAAAGGGAGGGAGGAAAGGAGGAACGGAGGGAAAGAATTTTTATGAAGTGCCAGGTATAGGTATTATTGGCATTATAACAGAATGCCTAAGGCATCCAAATATCCCAGGTCCCTGGGGGTTTCATTTAATATGCCTTCTAAGGATCTATTAAAAATACTTCTGAGGCTAATAATCAAATTGAAAACCAAAAGCAGAAGAATTCTTTGTAATTACATAGCATCTTTTTTTCGATGAATCTAAAATGACTTTTAAAAAGCATGTCATTGATCTTCCTAACATCTCTATGAGGTTGCTAAAATAAAATCATATTTTGAGAGTTTCTGGGAGTTATTTCAAACAGTTTTTTAAAGCATGGTGAGTGCAAACGACACAAGCACATTGGAGTGTGGTCTGCACTTATGAATCCACGACTGTTACTTTGAATCCACTTGATGTGCTGGGCTAGCTCACGCTCTCTTTTCTCACGGATGCTGGAGCTCAGAGCTGGCTACAGCAGGTAGTGATCTGGCACATTTTACAAACTTGCAAAAACACACTCCCCCCAAAAAAGAACACCCTCACACAGACATTTTGCCCATTAAGTATGGGTTTACTGTAAGGATTTCTTCTTTAGGAAGTACAGATGGCCCCTGGGTTTCCAGACTCAGTCACGTGTCCACGGGGCTTCCTTGAGCCCTATGCCTAGGCAACACCTCGTCACTAGAAGGGGCGCCTCTTGATGGAAGAGGACCAGTGGCTGAGAACAGAATAGAGCCTGGGCAACAAAGGGCTCAGACAGCCAGAGCCCTGGCACACAACTTAGGAGCACCTCAGAGGGAAACTCAGAGGTTAGAGAGACAGAAATGACTGGGGTGCAGTGAGGGTGGGGTGGGGTAAGCATGTGTAACTCTGACCCCTGACTCCGGCTTTAGATTTTAAGCAGCTGAAGCTCACTGCCTGAAGGAGGCTCACAGGCCTCATCCAGAAGAGGGAAAATGCCCCCTCCCGATTCAGCCCTGCCTGGAACTTAGCCTGGCGCCCTGCTCGGCCTCAGGAGAAGGGGAGAGACGAGCCCCTGCACGGCTGAAGGCTTCCTCTTCATTATCAGACTGCAGTGCAAGGGTCCTGAGGATGCCCAAGGCCACAGGCATCTATGTATGGAGTGCTCGTGCTTTTCAAAACCAGGACTCGAAACTCTTGGTCTGATAAAGGATTTTTTTATGCTAATTTGAGACTGTATTAACAAAAAAAGAACCCCAAAAGGTATAAAAATGAACAAATTGACCTTAAAAATAATTCACTGACATAAAGTGCTAACTGTCTCAGAAAATCCAGTGTGCGTGCAGACCGCTTCACTTGCGTTTCCTGTGACAGTAACCGTGAACGGCTGAGTCAGCAGGAGAAAATGACCACGCAGGTGCCTGCTGGCGAGAGAGAGGATGCCCGGCAGAGGGTTAGGTGACCTCTTCCCCAATCCTAATTGCCATCCCCATTTCTCCCCTCTCCCTCAAGGGTCATATAAAAGCTAAGTTGACCCAAGAGTTGGAAAAGGCCAGATTTCAGAACCAACGGCGATGGAGTCGGCCCTGAGCCAGCGACCCATCCCCTCCGTTTGATTCCACTGTTTTTTGGCCAAGTTTCTGCTCCTCCTCACAAAAGTGGCGTCATTTGCATGAATATTAGTTTCCCAAAGTATTGACTCTACTCCAGGATAAAATTATCTCTTGAACTCTAGTAGAATCACAACACAACTTTTTTTATTAAATTACTTTAGTTCTGTGAATATGTGGAGGACAAAAACTGCAGCGAAGCAGCCTTTGTTCTTAAAGGGCAATTAGGGGACAGCTGCAGGTGGCTCCAGCAAGGAGACACAGCCATCACGTCAACTGTCTAGAAATGAGCCGAGTTTACGGAGAAAAGTACAGTCAGTGTGAATGCAGATTCAGTTTTAGAAGGTCCCATTCCAAAGGGGTGTTATCACAGAGGACTCAAAATACTGAAGAATCAACTGAAGAATCAACATGCTGAAGAGCATATCAGCTGAACCCTTTTACAGGCATCATTGACAATTTTCAGAATTTTCTATCACAGACATGCTCTAAAGTTTGAGTAACCCAAAGGGACTTATTTATTAAATATATTAACGATGCATATGACCACAGACATTTGCCTATATCCTCAAGTTCTCTTACACAAAAAATCAAGTGCAGGCTTGTCCCACTCTGGGTGATATGATTTCAAAGTCCAAATGAATTAAATAAATCATAGAGTCGTGTTTGTATTAGCAAAGGTATCTCAATAAGATAGTTTAGTATTAAGGTGCCCTAGTCTGTTTAAATTTTAGAGCATTTTGAAGCTAAAGAACTACAAGTCAAAAAGAGGTTAAGCTATGCAAATCACAGATTATAATGTAAGGTATTGAGGAAACAGTCTAACACAAAACCTGGCACATAGGACACGGTTAATAAATACTGGTTGAATGAATAAACACACATTTTAAGGACAGCACTTACTGAGTAAAATGAAGTATACCTACACCAAGATTTTATATATATACTAATATAATATGTCAAATTTATCTCAATAAAAAAGGATTTTATATATATACATAAAGTTTCATACCTTTCCATAAATTTTTGAAAAATGTTGCCTCGAAGACTGTCACAAATTTCTTCTATGTATGGCTGGAAAGGATGGAAAAGAAATTCCACACTGCATAAATAGGAACATATTAAAGTAAAAACACAAAGCGGTGAGACTGGGACTACCTAGGGCTCCCAGTTAACGTGCTCCCACAGCATCTTGTACTTGCCCAAATTCTTGGCCCTTATCCAGTGTTCACTAATGGATTCATCATCATGATTATATAACCATTATCTATACCACTCGATGGCATGCTCCATGAAGGCGAGGACAGGTCTATCCTGTTTGCCACTGCATGCCTACCCCCTAGCACGGCTCTTGGCAAGTCACAGATGCTTCTTAAATGACCAGAGTCAGCTTCATGGGCGTGAGATCTGTGCAGAAGAGCCCAGGGCTTGGTTTAGTGCCCTGCTGATGCCATCTTGAAATTCTTAGTAATTTCCGAACAAGGGGCCCACATTTTCATTTTGTACTTGGCCCTGTAAGTTATGTGGCACATCCTTGTAAATTACCATTAATTAACTGTGATTATTATAAATTATCAGCATTAATATTGAGTTTTAAAGACTAAAACTCTTTAGTTACTTATTGATTTTCTACTTCTTGGAATCACAGAGCTAATGGTAACATGGGGGAGAGTTAATCCCACTCCTCATTTGGCACATGAGGAGGCTGTGGCGCGGCAGGCAAGTGCTTTCCCAGGGTCTCTGAGCAAGTTCGTGGCTAACCCAGGATGGAGGCAAGGGCTCCTGGCTCACTCGTGCAGTGCTCATCCCCCCATGGAGAACAATGTCCTTCAGTTTCATGCCGCTTTACACATGACTGAATAAACGGCATCAACTTTTCTTTTCCATGTGATGAACTTTAAATCAGGAACTACAAAAATATCAAATGCCAACATTTCACAGTTCAGCCTAGAGTCAGTTTGATAGTTTTGGAAAATATCTTCCTACCCAACACTCAAATGACTCAAATTTAATGTTTTCTGTGTCTTCACAGATCATTCTGAAAATTCGCAAAAAGGAAGGACCAGACCGTGGAACTGTCCAAAGCAAGTGACAAGACCAGGAAGTCTGCAGAAACCACTGTCACCAACACGGGCTGACAACCGCAGCTCTCCTGGGGCCTCACTTCCTGCGGCAGAAAGGAGACTCGGGGCTAAGCCAGCCTCCGCCGCCTTGCAGGGCTGTCTCTGTCCCGGGCAGGGCGCTGGGACTGGTCACTCAAACCAAACGGTTCCCTCCTTGGTAAAAGTGGAAGCTGAACTCTCTCTCTGAAGCTCTTTCCAGCTCTGAAACCCTATGATTCCATGACAACATACGATCTCTCTCTTAGCCGAGCCCTCTAGATGCGAAAGACTGAGGGCCGCAAGTCTCAGAGGTTCAAAAGACAAAACCAGTCAAGAGTTTAAAGTTCTACAAAGAGGCTAAATTTGTACATCACCAATTTTCTATTTACAAAAGCTATAATGTTAATTAGTATTTTTCTTTCATATTTTATCAAACATCCCATACTTTCTGCTAACAAAATAAAAGACAAAGGTCACTAGAAATTGTTAAGACTGCACATAATACACCATATTGCCACTTTTCACCAAAAAGAACCACAAAATATGTCAAGTAAACAGCGCAAAGCCCGAGTTCAACAGTGGGCTCATGAGCAAACTGCTTCCCCTCGCTGATTCTCAGTCCCCCATCTGTAAAATAGGATCGCATCTCTAATTTGCAAGGCTACATGAGAATTAACAAGATTAAGAGTGGTGAGAGCCGAGCCCAAGGCCTGGCACATCGTAGGCACCCAGGACCCCTCCCAACCCTTGCCACCAAATGTTGCCTACGTCGTTACTTATTTCTAACATCAATTTTGCAAACAAAAGAATTTAATAAAAAGGATTTTGCATCTCCTTTCAGAGCACTTTTGTTTCACTACCTTCTTCTCCTTGATAAGAAATTTCAACTCAGGCATCACACTTCCTGATTTCAAAATATATTTTAAAGCTATAGTAATCAAAACAGTAACTGACAGAAAGACAGACATGACAGACCAATGAAACAACAGTCTAGAAATAAATCCACATATATGGTCAACTGATCTTCGACAAGAGGACAAGAACATACAATGGGGAAAGGACAGTCTCTCAACAAACGGTGTTAGGAAAGCTAGATACCCACATACAGAATGAAATGGGACTCTTATCTCACACCATATACAAAAATCAACTCAAGATGAATTAGAGACTTAAACATAAGACTTAAACATACAACTACTAGAAGAAAAGATAGGGGAAAAAGCTCCTTGACATTGGGCTAGGCAATGATTTTTTTTGATATGACACTAAAAGCTCAGGCAAAAATAGACAAGTAGGATTGCATCAAACTAAACATCTTTTGCACAGCAAAAGAAACAATCAATAGAGTGAACAAGCAACCTACAGAATGGGAGAAAATATTTGCAAACCATATATCTGATAAGGGGTTAATACCCAAAACATAAAAGGAACTCAACTCAATAGCAAAAACCAAACAACCTGGTTAAAAAACGGGCTAAGGACCTGAATAGACAATTTTCAAAAGAAGACATATAGATGGCCAATACATACATGAAAAGTGCTCAACATCACCAATCATCGGGGAAATGCAAATCAAAACCACAAGGAGCTATCATCTCACACCTGCTAGGATGGTTATTATCAGAAAGATAAGAGCTAACAAACGTTGGTGAGGATGTGGAGAAAAGGGAACGCTTGTGCTCTGTTGATGGGAATGTAAATTGGTGCAGCCGCTATGGAAAACAGTATAGAGGTTCCTCAAAATATTAAAAATAGAACTACCGTATGATTCAGCAATCCCACTTCTGGGTAGATAGCCAAAGGAAATGAAATCAGTATCTAGGAGAGATAACTGCACTCTCACATTCATTGCAGTATTATTCACAATAGCCAAGACATGGAAACAACCTAAGTGTCTGTCAATGGATGAATGGAAAAAGAAAATGTGGGATGGATATATATATTACATATTCAACCTTTAAAAAGAAGGAAATTCTGCCATTCGTGACAACATGGATGAATGAATCTGGAGGACATTATGCTAAGTGAAATAAGCCAGATGCAAAAAGACGAATACTGTATGATCTCACTTATATATGGAATCTAAAAAAGTTGAACTCATAAAAGCAGAGAATAGAATGGTGGTTGACAGGGGCTGGGGGGTGGGGGAAATGGGGAGATGTTGGTCAAAGAATACAAACTTCCAGGCAAAGGAAACCAGGATCAAAATGAAAAGACAACCCACCAATCGGGAGAAAATATTTGCAAATCATATATCCAACAAGGGGTTAGTCTCCATAATATATAGAACCCACACAAATGAACAACAAAAAAACAAATAACCCAATCAAAAAATGGGCAGAGTATATGAACAGACATTTTTCCAAGGAAGATACACAGATGGCCAACAGGCATATGAAAAGATGTTCAACATCACTAATCATCAGGGAAATGCAAATCAAAACTACACTAAGATATCACCTTACACCTGTTAGAATGGCTATAATCACCAAGACAAAAAATAACAAATGTCGGAGAGGTTGTGGAGAAAAGGGAACACTCATTCACTGCTGGTGGGAATGCAAACTGGTGCAGCATCTATGGGAAACAGTATGGAGATTCCTCAAAAAATTAAAAATAGAAATACCTTATGATCCAGCTATCCCACTTCTGGGTATTTAGCCAAAGAACTTGCAATCAACAATCCAATGAGGCTTATGCACACCTATGTTCACTGCAGCATTATTTACTATAGCCAAGAAGTGGAAGCAACCCAAGTGTCCCTCGACTGATGATTGGATAAAGAAGATGTGGTATGTATATATATATATATATATATACACACGGTGGAATACTACTCAGCCATAAAAGAGACAAAATCGTCCCATTTGCAACAACATGGATGGACCTGGAGGGTATGTTAAGTGAAATAAGCCAGACAGAGAAAGACAAACACTGTATGACCTCTCTCATATGTGGAATATAAACTAACACATGGACAGAGAAAACAGGTTGGGGGATGGGCACAAGGGGGGAAGGGGCGCATTTATACAGTGACTGACAAATAATAAAGTACAACGGAATCTCACAATGTTATAAACTATTATGACATCAATAAAAAAAAAAAAGAATACAAACTTCCAGTTATGCAGGATGAATAAGTTCTGGGGATCCCATGTTTAGCATGGTGACTATAGCTAATGACACTGTATTGTATACTTGAAATCTGTTTGCTAAGAGAATAAATCTTAAGTGTTCTTACCACACACACAAAAAAGTAATCATGTAAGGTGATGGCTATGTTAATTAGCTTGATTGTGGTAACCATTTCACAATGTACACATATATCAAAACACCACACTGCGAAAACACTACCTTGAAAAGATATCTGCATCACCATGTTCACTGCAGGATTATGTACAACAGCCAAGACATGGAAACAACCTAAGTGTCCATCAACGGATGAATGGATAAAGAACGTGTGGTATTTATTTATACAATGGAATATTATTCAGCCATAAAAAAGAATGAAATCTTGCCATTTGTGACAACATGGACGGAGCTCGAGGGGATTATGCTAAGTGAAGTAAGTCAGAGAAAGACGAATACCGTATGATCTCATTTACACGTGGAATCTAAAAAAAAAAAACACAAGCTCATAGAAAACAGATTGGTGGTTATCAGAGGTGGGGGGTGGGTGAAATGCGTGAAGAGAGTCAAAAGGTACAAACTTCCAGTTATAAAATAAATAAGTCCTGGGGATGTAACGTACAGCAAGATGAATATAGTTAATAATACTGGATTGCATATTTGAAAGTTACTAAGAGAGTAGATCTTAAAAGTTCTCACCATATGAAAAAAATTCTGTAACTATGTATGGTGATGGATGTTAACTAGACTTATTACAGTGATTGTTTTGCAATATATACAAATACTGAATCATTATTATACATCTGAAACTAATATAATGTTGTAGATCAATGATACCTCAATAAATAAATATTTTAAAAAATAAAACAACAACATCACACTGTATATCTTAAATTATATACAATATTTGTCAATTATACTTCAATAAAGCTGGGGAAAAAAGAAATTTCAACTCAAAGAACTTCAACGCACTTTATGGTTAATGTACCTCTATAAACAGAACAACCAAAGGTATAACTATTTATACTCTAATCACAATGCAGTGATGGTACACGTTACACTGAATGGCACTAATACACTCCTTATTTTAATCCACTTAATAATGACTATTTCTTTCACCTAATAAGAGTACCATCCATTCTATATCTATTTTACCAAAACATTATTTTCATTTAATTTTTTATGAACAAATCACTAAAGTGTTTTTAAAAGATATACTGAAGAAGTAGCTTCTAAATGAATGTTCCTTGAAGGCATGAATCTTGAAAAGAATCTTGGTGGTCTTTGTATCTCACCTGGAATGCTTTTTTTTTTAATGTTACTTATGCTACAGGAAAAGTTAAAATCTGAGTTGTGAAATCCATATACTGTGAGGATAATTTAGCAATGTTCAATGTAACGGACTGTAAGACTGTCAATGAACCATGTCAGAGTCAGCTGGAAACTGAAATTCTGATGCTAAAATATCATGGAGACAACCAAAAGCAGATATTCACATCGTACTTTTTGAATGTAAAATATCTGATAATAGCTAACATTTATGAGCACTGCGACAGGCAGGCTCAGTTCAAAGCAACTCACGTGCACCTGTCTCACAGAATCCTCAAGACCCCCGTCTCTGAGGGAGAGTCCATGTCATCTCCACTTTACAGATGAGAAAACTGAAGTCAGAAGTGCAGTAGCTTGCCCAGGGACTCCCAGCCATGGCCCTGGGATTTAAACCCAGGTCAATGGATTTCAGAGCCCAAGCTCACAACCAACTAGACTACATAGACAGGTCCTACATTTTAAGAAAAGTCCTAATTATCTAATTATTTTCATTAATTAATAGTCTAATTATTTTGGCAGAAAGGTAACACCCAATTTGTTACTGCATCCAAATGTTCCAAGAGCCAAATTAGTATTTTCTTTATAGAATAGATTCATTTTGCAAAAATAAATAAATCCTGTCATAAGACACCAAAGCAAAAATCAACTTACTTCTCTGTAACTGACTGAATAATCCAAGAAAAGGATAAATTAATTATTTCCATTTATGAAAATCATTACATCACTTAATGGCATTCTTTCATATTTCTTATACATCATAGAGACATAAAAGGTACATTATCCATTTGAAAATTTGACCATGTCCTTGCAAGCCAGTGCCACCTCGATAGAAAACACACAGGATAGAAAAGGCTTTGGGGAGGAGAAACCATCACATCTAAAGGGCAGCAAATACATAGGCCCATCAGCTGTGGATTTAGTTTTCCAAGTCTTGTCATTTAAATCTACATGACTGTGTTGTGTTCAAGATATGAGGAGCCGAGGCAAAATCCAATTCCCCAGTGATGACCCCAAGGTCGTTCAAACATTCACTCCTGATGCCTGAAAATGGATATATTTCATCTGTGGGATAATCCTCGCGAGGATTGACACTTCTAGCACCACAAAATAAATCTTGTAAAGTCCCTGCTCATCACAGGCGCCTGGAATGTCAAATGGGAAAAGGCTTTTTACTCCAGTGTCTTGTCTTGATAATTTATAGAAAATACCAGAAAGTTCTAGTGACTTTTTTCAGGAAAGCCTTTACGAAGGATGTTGGTATAAGAACATTTCTCATTTCAATGAGAAGACGAGCAATACTAAACTTCAGTTGTTCCAGATAAACCTCCAGATAAGCATACAGTTTTATATATCAATTCCTCTAGTACATTCACACACGCACAGAGAATGTCACCAAGTCCAACGGTTAAGCAAATTAGAAATATGTATTTGGACATAATTTTATCCTACCTGGAAAAGAGTTGATGTCACTTGCTTCTTGGATAGATGACTTTGTACATGTTCTACAGCTTGCTTTGAGAATGGCTTTTAAAAATCAAAAACAATATTTTTTTCCACAAATACAAAACATAACAAACCTCTGCATGTTATACAATATCACAACATATAATTTAACACAACAATGACTGAACAGTAACCTATGGTAATTACATTAACATGCATTCTTAAAAAATCTGTTGGGTATTTGTGGGCAATCCAAACAGGATGCTTGTTCCTCCGAGCTTCCAGAGTTCTTAGAAACCATGTGGAGAAGGAAGATAATCGTGAGGGTGTCTGACTGACATATCTAGCTCAACATGAGCTCAAGATTAGGGTTATAAAAAAGTGTAAAGAATCTTATCACCTTATTAAATGCATACATCCCTCAATTAGCTGATAATAGGGTCCTAAAAATGTAAAATTTCTACTATATAATTGAAAATGAAAATATACTTAAGAATTAAATGCCGGGATGACAAAGCTAAGCCAAGGTGGTAAAAGGCTCTGGGGTAAGGGAAGCCTTGCTGTGTCCACAGCAGAGGGGAATTGGGTCTAAAAGAATGGAATCGACACTGACGAGAATTACACACTCTAGCCTCCCCTAAAACTTCAAATTACGTCTTCTTCAATAATGCACAAGAAGAAGAAAAGCTTAAAAAGCATATCCTACTGCTAGAAACCCTCCAAATTGCTGAGCTCCATGAAAACTAAGCTTACAGAGGCTTTCCCAGTGAACATTTGGCATTTTCCAAGGTTCAACCATTCTCCAGCAAGGTAGCAAGGCAGAGAGCAGGAATGATTAGCTCTAGCTCTGAAATTCTTTCTACTACAAGGCAGATGAGAACCATAAGCAATGTATGCTACAAGAGGTGTCATCTTTAGCCACAGCTATTCAAAAGTCAGTGGGAATTGTAAACAGCACAATAAATATAGAAGCACTAACATATGTCATTATCATCACCAGCGTTATCCAATCAAACTTTCTGGGGTGATGGAAATGCTGTGGATCTGTGCTGTCTGATACAGGCGCCACTAGCCACAAGTGGATGTTGAGCACCTGAAATATGGCTCATGAGGAAGTCAGGAATTAAATTTTTATTCCATTTGATTTTAATTAATTTAAATTTAAATAACCACATGTGGCTAGCGGCTACTGAATCGGACTCAGCAGGCCAGGACTATTAGGACACTCCTTTGGAAAACAGTCTTAGTGTAGAGAGATTACATGGTAAATTTTCATTATTCATTATCCCACTCACTCTTGGTAGAAGACTTTCCTGGGAAGCTGGTTTATCCTAACGGCCAAATTGGAGTGTACACCTGATTTACAACGGGAAAAAAATGATCTCAACCATTATTTAACTATTAATGAACAAAATTAACATCATAATTATAATCCTCCTTATTGAGTCAAATAAACCATTTAAGATTTATATCTATCAATATTTGATTAGCCTAATTGTTAAAGTATAGATCAATTAAAAACAATAAAGCTGAACTTCCTTTGGAAAGTCTAGAATTGAGATTAGCCTTTTATTCCATTGACCTGAACTAGCTATTTTATCAATTTTTGCAGCGAAAGTATCTGCTTTTGGAAGCGTATATGGAGCAAGAGACACTGGATCAGCATTATCAGGAAAGAAACAACAAAACAGAAGAAGTAGGTTTCATCCTGGATGACGATCGTTTAACTTTTAAACATCTCCTCTTATCTGACTTTCATTCTGGAAACATGGAAGATGGTCTCGTATTTATCCACATACAGTAACAGAACCAAAAGAAGCGCTTACATGTGAACAAGACAGCAGCTCCTTCATGATATAGGTATCGTAGATTTGCCGACTTCTACAAAGGCGATCTTCCTCATTCTCAAGCTTTTCATATTCTTTTATCTAGATTTTTAAAAATTAGCATTGTTAGGAATGTCTTCCTAGAAACTTACCTTATTAAAAGATATTACTATGAGATCAGGCAAATTACTGAACTGGCTATTGCACAGGAAACAACTACTTCTAATGTTGTAATAATGAAGTTGGAATAATTTAAATTGAACTTGAAAGATACAAATGGATTTTTTTCACTATGATGAACTTCATCACTTAAATTTAGAAACACAATATTAGAAAACAAATACTGCCATGGTTACAATTATCTTACAATACATCGGCCACGGACCATGTATCCTTGCCAATTCTCCTTTCCAAAGAACAAATAATTTAAATTTGGCTGTAATTCAGTTCTAAGAGTTATGCTGGGGATCGTTCTCACTCAACTACAGTGTTACAAAACCAACAAGAGGAAAAGATATATGGTCAGGATTCCTGCAAAGCGATTTTTTTAATCAACTAAATATTTTAGAAAGGCACTAACCGATAGATAAAAGCATTGGTTTTTCAGGTTGGAAACTCACCTGCACTACAAAAGTATTAACAGAAAGGTTACTTCAAAGAGTATATTTTGCTAACTTAAGGAAGGTAACCTGACTGGTGTTAAGACAAGCCAGGTAATTAAATGTGCTTTAGAAATGTCTGCCTTATGTGGAAATGACCCCAATTGCTTTAACCTGATAACAGAAGCTTCTGGATTAGAAACGTGTTTTTATTTATTTACAGAAATACTTTTAATCCAAAAGACAAGAAGAGAATGGAAACACAAATGAAATACGGAGCTGGTTGGAAGACTGCAGCAAAGATCTTCAATATAATGACTAATTACTTCGTATGATTTGTTTTTGGAAAGAAAAATGTTTCTAACAGGTAGCCAGTTATTACATTGACGTTCATAATATCTGCATGTTCTTTATTCTGGTATGATAAAGCTGGGGCTAACTACTCCTATGGGAGAGAGTATAAACTGAATAGAAATAAAAGTTACCCTTTTACTTTATATCTGGGGTTGACAGTTTCAAAATCAAAATCAGTAAATCCTATAAGAATTTCTGATAAAGAAAGAGCATGGTTGGCAGGGAGGGGGGTATGCGAAATACTGAGGTCCTACATGAAGGCTAGCTGGTTCACACACTGAGAAAGGACTGGGATCATCTTAATTGCCCCGAAGTATCATCAGTGTTACACTGAGACAGCTGAAACTCACAAGTCCAGGGCTTAGAGTGGAGTCTTGGAAAAGACAATAAAACCTGACATAAAGGCAGGCACACTGGAGTAAGCCGATACCCCATCCAAGAGGAAAAGACTGTTTTAACGAAGAAGCAATCCAGCAATGTTGGCATAACCAAAGGACCCAGCTTAACCATTCTAAGTCAACTTGTCAGTCAGACAAGTTTGAAGAGCTCGAACATATGCCAGATGCAAACGTGGTAGCTGCAAGGCAAGAGAGGCCTGACACCAAAATCCTAAGCAGAGTCAGAAAATAAACAAAGGACTCTGGCTTGGTTGACTTCTTTTGTTGTTTTGTTTTAGATAGGTCCAAAGGTTAACGTCAGAATGCTGGGATAAGACAGGTCGACTGTTAGTGAACCAAAGGCAAATGCTTCTGCCTAGACATATGAACAAACTCAAGGAATAAAGCCTTCATGGAATTATTATGCTTGAAAACAAGTGTAATGACATCTAAGTCTATGTTCCACAGGGCCTATAAAGCAAGCTGACACCTAGTTAAACAAATGCTGATTCTATGGAAGTTTTCCATGAACTGTAATAATCCGACTCTACAGAAAATTCTAGTTCCTTGGGCAAAGGATACTCTGAATCACGATATTGGCGTTATTAAGAGCCTTGGGCCTCATTAACTCCAACTTGAACAACAGAAAAGGTAACTCTTAGTAGGCAAAGTAAAAGCCTAAAGTATCTGAGGCTGTAACACAAAATGAATTTTGAATTATCAGTAAGACCACTAATTAAAGAACATGCAGTCAACTATCAACTAACTCTGGACAGGATGTCCTTATTGTAGCATATGTATAGAAAATGCCACCTCTAATTCTGGCAGTTAGGTTGTCCAGGTCACCTGAGCAGGCAGGGGCCTGAGGTCAAAAAGTTCCCTCCGGCAGAACAGAAGCATCGTCATCAATGATAGACATTCACCGATCATACCGTCCCTTTCTGCTTTGGCGGTCACAACACTCACAGCTGAGCATGTAGCCTAAACAACCAGAACCCTAAGAGCAAGCACTTTGTGTCCACAGCTGTCACAGTGTCCACTTTCTCACCTCTCGCGTGTTCCACTGCCACCCCAGTGAGACGGTCTAGTAAGTCACTAAGCGCCTCTGCCTTGCCCTATCAAGGGTCTGTCTTTTGTCCTTAGCTTCACTGACTTCTCAGCAGCATTCAACTCAGTTGTCCAATCCCACCTTCTCTCAAGCTTTCTTCTCTGACTTCTGTGATCTACATTCGCCAGGGGCTGGCCATACTGGCTCCTCTTCCTCAGTCTCCCTTGGCAGTTCTTCCTCCCCTGCTGGACTTCTAACTACTGAAGTGCCTGAGAGCATGGTGCTGGGGCACCCCTTTTTCACCTGCTATATTCTCCTTAGGTAGAGCTGTTCATTCCCACAGTGTCAATTACTAATTATATTCCGATGACTAAGACTGCATCTCCAGGACTCACTTCTCCCCTGAGCTCCAGAGTCTAAATATCTAACTTGCTATTTGACATTTTCACATCCCCTCTACCCCAACCAAACATACTCTTCCCCTAGTGTTCTTTATCACAAACATGAGTAAAACGATCCTCCCAGTTGCTTAAGTCAAAAAAGGAATAATCATCATTGATTCCGCTCTTTTCTCACACCCTCCCCCCACCATTCCCTACAACCAGTTCATCAGCCAATCATCTTGGATTTACACTCAAAACATATCACAAACCCAGGCTCTGCTTCAGGCAATAGCCAACTAACTGCTACCAGAACAATACTCCTGGGAAAACAACTGTAAATTCTGCACATATATAAAACCCAACTACAATGGAGAGTGACCAAAAGTACACAGATAATGGGGAAGGGGCATCAAACAGAAGCTGGAAAGTAAGAGAGAATATTCCTGAAAATAAAGAGCCAGAGAGGGGGAATTCCAAAATTGTCTGTATAAACTATGTCAAAATCTCTATTGGACCCCATAATGACTTACACACATGGCAGACCCACAGCAGTCCAGCTAGGGCTAAAAGAACTGAACAAGATTCAGCTGCTACCCACTGTACAAGAAGAGCTTGAAGCTTGAGTAAGCCAAGTTACCTGCTAAAGCAAAACATCAATACCCTTTAGAGAAGCATACGGAGTTTACAGTATCTACAATACATCAATCACAATGTACAAGATATAGTCTAAAATTATTCTACACATGAAGAAACAGGAAAATGTGGAGAATGTGGAAAATGCAAGAGAATGAAGGCCAATCCAAGGTGACTCTGATGTTGGACTCATCAGACAAGGATTTAATGCAGCTATTATAGCTATACTCAATGACATACCAGAAAATATGCATGTAACAAATAAAGAGATAGGAAACAGCAGCAGAAAAAATATTAACTATGAAAAGAACCAAATAGAAATTTTAAAACTACAAAACACAATATCTGAAATAAAAAATTCAATGGATGGACACAACGGCAGACTAGAGATGTCAAAAGGAAGAGCCAATGAATTTGAAGACGAATCCGTAGAAATTACCCAATTTGAAGAACAGAAAGAAAAAATACTTGGGGAAAAAATTGAACAGGGCATCAATGATATTTACAATATCCAAAAATCAAACATACATATAATTGGAGTCCCAGAAAGAGGGGAAAGAGAGATTGAGGTAGAAAACATGTTTTAAGAAATAATGGCCCAGGTTTTACCAGATTTGGTGAAAGATATAAATTTACAGATTTAAGAAACTCAGCAAACCCCACAAAGGATTAACACAATATCTAAAATTACTCCACTAAAATGCAGAGACTGTCAGAAATGAGAGGGGTGGGATGAGACACTTTTATATCTGTCTAAAAGAAATACACTTTATATATAAAAACACTAGTAGGAAGTGGATGGGAAAAGTTATATCATGAAAACAGTAAGCATAAGGACACTGAAGTGGCTATATGAATGTCCAGTGAAGTCATTTTCAAGACAAAGAATATTACCAGCAAGAAAGAGGGACATTTCATATTAAAAGACATAACAATCTTCAATGTATATGCACCTAATCACAGAGCTTCAAAATACATGAAAAAAATGACAATAAAAAGAAGAAATAGACAATTCTACAACCAGTTGGAGATTTTATCACCCTTCTCTCAGCAACTGATAGAACAACTAGACATAAAATCAGTAAAGAGGTATGTAGATCACATCAACCACCTTGATCTAATTGATAGTTAGGAAATATTTACCTAACACTCCCATTTTAAATTTTCCATTGGCTTTAGAATAAAATCTAAATTTGTTACTCTGGCCCCCAAATCCTCTCTCTGTCTTCGACCTGATCTATCCCACACTACCCCGCCCCTCTCATCCATTCCGACCACACCACACTGGTTTTCTTTCAGTGCCTCAAATACGTTCTTCCCACCACATTAGGGGCTACATCTTAGCCGTGACTTCACCCTAAAATGCTCTCCCTCCTCACCCTGCTCCCATCTTCAAAAGATTAGCTTCCTTGTCATTCAAGTCTCAGTTTAAACGCCACTTCTTCAGAGAGTCGGTCTTTGACCCATCAACCTAAAGTGGCCCCCAAGTCACAAGAACTCACAGTGAGTTTCAAGTCTGTTCAGAGCATAGCGGTTATTACTTCCTGATACGTTTCCTGTTTATTACTTGTCTATTGTCTGTTTCCCTCAATAGAAACTCAAAGAAATAGAATAGAAGCTCAGAGAAAGCAAGGACTTGGTCTATCTTGTTCATCCAAGCAATGCCTGGCCCAGCATTGGTGTTTGATAAACACTGGTTGAATGAGTG